TTCAAATTTTTTTACCCAAAACTCGAGAAGCTTGTAATTCCGTGCAAGATATATGTTCAAGTATCATCATATCGAACGATAACGGTATAGATTCTAAAAATCGTGTGACGAAACTGATTAATTCAGGTTCGGTAAACAGATTGTAGGATCCTTTCACACATTGACAAGTCATTTCAACTGGTATTGGTATAAGTAGCCATGATGCAAGATTATTTTGATTGCTAATGTATAAAAATAAAATAAAATTCATTATATTATTTCTCTAGTTATCACTGCAAGAGTCATTACATCATTGCGAGGGGGAGGGGGGGGGGATGTAACATGAAATAGAAATTTTTTAATAAAATTGTAAAACTAATCATTTTGACTTGTCTGGTAGTTCTAATGTTAAGGTGACGCTTTTGTAATTCTAGAAAGGAAATTTCTAAATTTTAAATTAAAGACCGACGATAATAAAAGTCGTAGCAAAATATTACGACGTGAATAGTTAAGCAGATATAAATAATTAATTAACCTCTGTGATATACGTTCTGTCCCCCAATATTCTCTCCCCAGAGTTTCAAGGTTTTAAGGGACTGCTTAAACACCCCTTTTATCCCTCGAACGTCGTTTGCGTTTCTTTATATATCAATTACCAGCTGAAAGTTAAGCGAGCGCGTTTTAATTGACGGAAGAGCCACCCTGGAACAGTCGAATTAAGATGCAAATCTATACTGCTTAAGAACGTAGAGAAGTTTTGCGAAGGGCACGGAGATATTCCGATAACCTGTTAATTGTATTTTCTCCTTTTACTCTGCGATAAGACTTTCGCGCGTAAATTCTTCTCCGAAACTTCCGCGATAAGCGAAACGTTTTCAAACACGATTTTCATATTTCTCTAATTATCGGAATGGTTCAAGCTTTCCAAAGGAAGCTGCATCTTTAAATAACTTTTCCATAAGTTCCTCTCGGAGAATTTTCTCTGGAATTAAACCGGCTTCTACCGACATTCTTGAATATCTTCATGAATTGAGAATTATTGTCTTTCGAGGCACAGAGCTGCAATTGTCGAACGGCCATTTCAAATCACGTGTATTCTTCTCCGATCCTCGTATAAATCTCGAACAAAGTAGATCGTGTGAATTTTGACTGAATAACACAAATGGTGCTTGTAGCACTGACTAGGCTCGCCACGTAGTATAGCCAAACTGTTAAGAATCGTTGCGCGAATTGTTTAGAAGGATTAGAAGAATAATAGAGAATCTCTCGTCGCAATTAGAAAATCTTTCAAAGTTCCAATCGGATGAAACTTTGTGGACTACTTTCCGTCCCTCTGAAGCGTTCGAAATCTTCGAAAGAGGCTTTCCTTCTCGTTCATCGCACGATCCTCTGTTCCTACGCGGCTCTTTCTACTCCGCTTCTATTTCCTTTCTATGTCGACGAGGATAAAGAGTTTTCGACCTTCCCAACAAACGTTCCAAATTATCGTTCGTTTCTCTTCGACACGTTTCGACGAGTGGACGACTTCTCGCTGAATCTTTCTTCTACGCTCGTTATTTTCATTCTTCTTCCCTCTGCGAGCCGATAACATCAGCTACATTCAATTACTCCCCGCGGGGAGATCAATATGGAATTCAACGAAAAAAAATTCCTCCGCTTTTCCTCGGTTTTTCGGTAATTAATAACATGCTCGCGGTAGCTAACTGAATTTCAATTTCACGTTTCTACTTGCCATCAGCGCTGATTAACAACGCTATATATATATATATGTATATATATTTTTTAATTGTTTCAAGAATTCTACATATAAAGTGGATTATATTCTGGAAACATTGAAACAAAGCTTTTCGGTGCAGAATTATTCGCATTTTTCCCAATACAATGTCAGTCTCGAAGTATTTATTTTCTCGCTTTTCAGAAACCAGCCGATCTCCCGGGGAAAATCGAGCAGAAATTTCCAGAAATTTCGTTCCGTTTGTTGTTCTTTTGCGAAACTTGCAAGAAGAAAAAGAGAGAGAAAAGAAAAGAAAAGAACGGAGATTTTAGAAAATTTAGAAAATTTGCAAAAATTTTCCCCTCCTTGTACAAGGCGAACGATGTTCAGGGAATATGTATAAAAAAGTTTCGAGCGGTTGAACAACTATCTTTTCTCACCGCCAGACGAGAGCAACAATTTTCAATTTGCTGGAGCGTGAAACGTTCGAATCGATAAAAAAAAAAAAAAAAAA